AACTGTTTCTTTCTCCTTTGGTTTTGGAGATCTCACTTGAAGTGGGAGATTGGACTAACTTCCAACAAACATTTCTATGATCTCTGTGAATTATTGATACTGGGAGCTAGTCCTTTTCCTGCTTGTTAAATAGGCTGCAGCAGATGAAGAGCTGAGGAAACCTGCCTTCTCATTTTAATTGCTGTATGAGAGGGATCAATTACTTCTAGATATCACCTTTGGAAAGAAGAAACAGAGCAGCCTATCTCAGCAAAGGCATGCCAGCATTTCGTAGTTTTTTATTCTGCTTTTGAATATCCATGTCTGTATTAATATCTTGGAAACAGTACTTAAAAATTACTCAGCTTACCTTTAACATGCAGCTTTCAAACAATGTTTAAAGCTTTATGGGAAATGCTTAGTTTTACACAGCGCAATAGTGTTGCTAGGAGCTTATATAGTTTTGTCTAATTATTCCTGACATTTCACATATCCCACTGTGTATGTCTTTAGAGGAGACTGACAAAAAGCTTTTGCCTCTGCTTTGAGATTTCTACCAAATTGTGCTCCCTGTCAGGCAGTCCAGTATGATGCAATGTACAAACAATAGTTTAAAAAAAAGGCTTTAATTTTGTTTCAGGAATTCTTATGTCTTTTCCACACATCCCAAATGCTGACTGAAGCCAGATTTAGCAGGCTGGGAGATGCAACTTAGGACACCCTCTGGGACCTTGCTTTCTCATTTGTAACTTGTCTTGGCATAAAGCATGTAGGAGACTGAAATCCTGAATCCTTTTCCATTAAAATAAACAGAAAGATTCTTTCCCCTGGCTTCACTTATCAAAGAATAAGGAGTCCTATAGGCCAGGGTACAGGGTCCCTCAACAGGCAGGGGAATGAGGTAACCGCTGCCAGAAATACACTTGTCCCCTCTCAAGACGAGTCTTTAAGGCAGATAGTGTGAATCACATCCTGGAAATGCTGATCTTCCTCTCTTTTGACTACAAGTGGCTCCTCCACAATTGCATTTAGAATACATGCCTGATTTTTAGATGGCTAAATTTGAGAGGTAAAACCTATTCTCACTGACACCAGTGGGACTTGGATTAGGCTCTGAGAGAGAGTTTTCACATGCAAGCTAATGGGAAATTAAGAATTTGAATGAGGAATTATGAATTTAAAACTAGTCAGCTGCTTAGCTCTGTGTACATATGCTCTTATTCAGAAATTGGAGTGCTGTCTTCTGAATGAGCTGAATGAGGAACAATCAAAAGTAGAAACTTCAGAAAAAAACCCTGTTCTTTGCGGATAGGACCTAAGAAAGCAGATCTGTATTGTTGTAGACTCTGGGTTAGCAAAATATGAGCTTTAAATTCTACCCAAAGGACAGCAGAAGCCCCCCCAACCCCGAACTACACTCCACTTTTCAAAAACTGCTTCAAACTATCAGTAGCCTTGGAGAAAATATCAGGCCTGCTTATTAAGAATAGACTGCACAAGCCAGATAGAAATTCATCGATCAGTCTTCAGGTTGTTACTGCACTGAAAATGCTGATTTGGTCATTTAGGCCTAAAGCCAAACTTCAGCTCAAACCTTCTTCACAAATTGTTGACGGGAATCTTCTCTGTCAGGCCAGATCTTGATTTCATTAGTTTGCACCCTCATTATGTCTGACACTTTGACCAGAGGATAAAGCAAAGAGGCTTTCTCTACCTCTCTGCACTCCTGGAGCACGGAACATAAGCAATTGCAATCCATATGCTTTCCTCAGCATCATCACTTAGCAAGTGCCCCCTGGGCACAGTTTCCTAGCCCCAGCATTTCTCCCCTTCCTGCGTGGTGCCCACCTTATTCTCTGCTGAGCACTGCCTATATGCATCTTTAATCCAGTAGGCACTGAAGTGCCGTGATTTTCTGCCCAAATGGCCCTGCGTACCCATATAGCCCCAAGGAGATCCTTTCTGAGTTCTACCCTCTCTCTGCACCGCAAGGATACTCTGAAAAAAAATTTTCTTTATTTTCTTAATGAACTTGTCTTTAAACAAACCCCATCACACCTTATGAGACCCAAGCACCAGGTTCCCATTGAGACAAAGGGTACACTGACCACACAGGGGAGTTTGGTTGTTTAAGTCTGCTCAGTGGGGCCAACATTTTTTTCCTTGGAAAACCACTGCAATAATTGAAGGTGGGCAAAAACATAAACAAAGTGCCTTCCCTGCAGAACACAAGCCTGCAGGTACCTCAGATCAGGCAGGCCCATCGCTTCATGTCAAAACCCATCCCTGGGGAGTTATTTGGTTTTAATTCCCATGCTCCTTATGAGCCCTTAGCAACTCAGACAATATAAATACTAAATACAAGAACTGTATTAAACCAACATTATTAAGGAAGTATATTTACATGCTGAAAAGTCTAGAGGTGTTGGGCTGAAGGTTTCCTCTGTGGCTTAAGTCTGCGCCCCTTCTCATCCCTTATCCACATCGTAAGGACACATACTGGCATTATAACATTAATTAGTAACACTGACTCCAGGCACTGTGTTTCTTTTCTCCTGTTGTTTCTGTACAATGTAATCCCAACTCGTGCCTCTCAGCGCACACACTGTCCCTTAGCCTTCGCTGTTCGCCTCCCAGCTCACCTCTTGTGCCAGAGCAACCTGAGGATACCCTGACTGGCTCCTGCCATCTCAGCCACTACCTCCGGCAGCTCGGCCAGGGCTCGTGTCCAGCCTCTCGCAGTGCCTGTGCCCCTCCCTGTCCCTCCCTGTCCTCTCTTGTCCAGCTTTTGTCTCTCTGCTTTTGAATTAGAAGGCACCTATGTGGAATATTTTGGCCCAGAAAAGAGATTGTGTCTTAAAATGGGAAGTGATTTACTAGGAAATATCAGTGATTGACCTTGCTTATTAATACAGGGCAGGATTTAAATGCTGCTTATCATGTAAGGCACTGGAACAGGTTGCCCAGAGAAGCTGTGGAAGCTCCATCCTTGGAGGTGTTGAAGGCCAGGTGGGATGGGTCTTTGAGCAACCAGGTCTAGTGGGAGGTGTCCCTGCCTATGGCAGGGGGGTTGGAACTTGATGATCTTCAAGGTCCCTTCCAACCTAAACCATTCTATGATTAATCTTTAAAAATGCAGGTGTGGTTGTGGTCATATATTTTGTAGTTCTTGTATTTTAATTCTTTGTTTAGTACCTGTCTTTGGTGGTACCTGGCAGCCCCTGAGCAGAGTCAGGGACCATCTAGTCCAAAACAGAACAAAAGAACCCATGCTGTGATTCAGGAAGGCAAAGCTTGGTGGGGTAATCCCAGTGTAAGGGGTTCCCATCGCTCAGTTTAGGATTAGCTTGGGGAACTGATGTGGCTTCATATTCTTCGCACTCATTCGCTGGTCTGGCTAGGGCACCTCCATGATTGGCATGACTGGGACAGGTACCAGTCCTGGGTCACTGGGGAAGGGGCACAGGGACTCTGAGAATTGATCTTACGAAAACACAGTATTGGAAAATTCATAGTCTGAGTGTTAGGTCATTTATGACAAACATGTAGAGAGACTGGCTACAAAGGAGCTAGTGAAAAAGTCACGTATGTTCACAAGGAGAATTTTACTATCTCTAATCAATAACAGCTGGTTTTCAGTATCTCTATCACTTGCGTACTATCGCTATATATAGGATAGTACTATGGTAAATGACTGTGGTTTTATAAGTGACTTCTTGGAAGGGACATTAATAACATAGTTATCTTATTTAAAGTGCTCTCACTAAAAGCACTGCCGTGTTTATGTTTTGCAGCTGTATCCCTTTAGGCTGTCAGTCATTTCGTACAGAATGAACTTGACACACATAGACTAATTTTACTGATTTGCTGGGAGAAACTCAAATGAGTTCCCCCAAATGGGAATCAATTGCATTTCATATTAGCTGATTATTGGTAATGGCATTGAGTGCTGTCTCGGAGGAGGAAAGGGGAAAGAGGATGATTAATTGTTCCTTAAAAACAACTGGACAGGTTTAGGCTGTGAGATGACAATGTTCATGTCTGCGCCTGCCAGAAGATACCTCCACCTTCTCAGCAGAGGACCACCATGTAGCAGAATACTCTGACTTTCTGGTGGACAGCCTGACTCCAACTCCTTGGCCACTGAACTTTTCACTGTTTCATAAGAAATGGAATCACATCACTTGGAGAGAACAAGGGGAACTGGCTTTGCACATGTGTGCATGTGTGTGTGCGTTCACGCATGTGTGTGTGGCATGCGCATGTACACATGTGTATGCAGGGCAGGTTAGTTCTTTTACATCCACAGTTTTACACTTCCTTTGAGCAATTACATCACTGTGCAAATGATGCATCTTTCTGCCTTTGGCAGCAATAAATCAATTTGACTTTGTTAAACCCTGAATTGGTCTGAGTGCTTTTCACTTTCAATATTTCCATGATCGTAGCTGTGAAGGGCAAGAATCTGTGGCACACTTTGTGGAACAGGTGGTTAGCTTATGCAAAATATGACTTAGCACATTTATGATAATGTTAATATTTCAAACTATGGAAAGATGCTAAACTTCCAATATTCTTTCTTGTTATCTCAGAGAGGTTGCCTTTTCCAAGTTCATATACAAAACACTGAAATTCAAACCTTTC